CTTGCTGAGTGCTTCTCAGCCACCTACAGGAGGCCTTTTATTTTATAAATGAATAAAAGGTTTCCTCTGATTGGTTGAAGTGGAGAACCAGAAAATGTCACAATCTGCATCTCAACCAAAGGTAGTCTTGTATTTATTCATAAAAATAATAGGCTTCTGGTTAATGGTTGAGCAGTGTTCAGCCTAACTGAATTTTTTTCCAGGAACAGAATGGAAAGTCACCATACTGTTTCTGGAACATAGCGCTGTATACTGTATGTAGCTAATGCTACATACAGATTTTACATCGATTAGTAAAGGAAATAGTTTGGGCCAGCTTGGTTACACATGGTTCATAGGTAGTGAGAAATTTAATAGAAAACCTTGCATTTCCATTTTCTGTCAACTTTTCTTTGCTATGCTGGCAAGTGGCACATGTGCAGTTCTTGGCATCCTTCTGTAGTGCTACTCTCTTGAGGGCCGCTGTGTTTCTGGATCCCTATAAGATTTTGCACAGCCAGGAAACACCGCATTTTCCACACTTGCATCCACAGTCCGTAAACAGTCCATGAGCTTGCTTTTTGTTAATTTATTAGGGGCTGTAACAGGTTAGGGTAATAGTGGTTATGGAACTCCCAATGTAACTGCATTAATGCACGACAACAACTTCCTTCCTATTTACAGAAACAGATCCTGGACTGTTCTTTTTCTTGAAAGCAGTCAGTCATTATGGATCATTAGCAACAGCCTCTTATGGGCTAGAGATTCACAGCCTCCTAAAAGTTAGCTTAGCTTGTTGCGAACTACATGCAGAGATGTCTCCTATCCCTTGAATAACTGCTTCCAGCTCCACAGCCTGCAGACACTACCAGCCCTCCTGACTGCTCTGAAGATCTCCCAGCACAAGGGTAAAAAATTAAGCACAGTGCTGTCCTTTGAAAGCTTGCTGCATGTGGCAATCTCCCCCCTTGTAAATCTCTGGGGTGTGCTGATGTACTCACTCTGTCCTCATTGCTCTCACTACTCCCAAGCCTTGATCCTATTCATGCCGTAATGTTGAATTAATCGTCCTGAGCTAGCCCAGACCTAGGGGACCCCCCCAGGCCACCCACACCCTCCTCAGCACTCCATATTCCAATACAACCCCCCTGCTGGCCTGACTATCCCTTATTTATGGGTTGGTCTCACCACTCTACCACAGCCTCCAAACCTGGGATTGGGTAGACTCCCATAAACATGCAGATTAGGCTCTACCTCTTCCTCTTCCACCCACTGATTTCTGGAAGTTTCCATGGTCCTCCAGAACCAGGTGCAGGCAATAGAGTCCCAACCTGCTAAGCCATCCCGCTTGACCTGCAGTAACCCAATGTTAATCATAGACTACCATGAGTCCTACACAATAGATTAACCTACACTACACTAGTAACACACTAGAAGGTGCTACACTTCTGTTGTTTGAATTTTCTCTATGCTGTGCTCAAGGACAATAATCCTCATCCATCTGGCAAGACTGACTGCTCTAGCTTTAGGCAACAAATTGCCATGGAGAAGGCTTATGGCACCATGGCAGCTATGCTTCTAAAATGATGCCTGGACATATTCATATTTAATACTGGGATTTAATAGTGCCATTGGCGGTGGGCAGCTGCTAACATCCAGAAAGGGTAGTGCCAGAATTTAGCCAAGATCAGTAGGAAGGGTGCCGCATCCTGCTCTATCTAACCTGGTGAGCAAATGTATTCTATGTATTTTCTCAGCCTGGACTTGCAATGTGAAACTTTGGGTTTTATGGGAGCAGAGTGGAGAATTTAGTTCTGCTTTAAAGTGGAACTTAACCCATAACAAACTGATAATAAATAATGTTCTTTAGTAAAGAACATGCATTCCACATTAATAATTATGATACCAAAATGAGTGTGTGCTGTAAATTACCTCCAGCATTGCTCCTGTTTCTTCTTGCTGGAGGATGCCTTTGTGCTGAAGCCCAGAGTCCCTGAGCAGCAGTAAATCTTTAAGCTGTCAGCAGATCGGCCTCAACATTTTTGGCACGGTGCTGGGAATAGAGAGCAGCAGAGCATGTGCAGAGCAGGGTCAGACAGTATATTACTGGATTTTAAACAGTATAGGCACTAGTCTTAAAGTTTTACATAGCTACAGTATACCTGCAAAAGGCAATATAAGGGACAATCTTACTCCCACTGTCTACTAATATAAGGGACAATATAAGGGACAAGCCCAGCCTGAAGTGATCTTGCAAACTTAAAGTGGAACTTCAGTTAGAAAAAAATAAGTAGTGTGGTATTGCTGTCTGAAGATGTTTATCTAGAAAGGAAATATACTGATGTCCCTGCTAAGGAGGTTGAGCAGCCTGATTGTCCTTGTATAGAGAGGGCTTCATTCACACCATGACATGACACTGTTCTACCAGTACACAAGTAACCCACCCCAGGTCACAGTTACAATTTTAAAACATTTTCACAGATATTGTGTAGTTGAGCCAGTGTATATAAAATTCTTGGACACATAAATAATATAAAGTGTGTTTTGTCCTGCATATTTTAAATAAACATTGTTGTCTTTTCTCTATACGAAAAAGTAACTTTAAGGTACTTTTCAAACATCAATCACAAAATATTTATTAAAACATTTATAAAAAAAAGATTTTTATTATAACAAAGTTAAAAATAAGTTCACAGGTTGAAGATAATCTTACTTTCCACTTCATATAATAATCACATTAGTAACCAGATACCTCCCACCACAGGATCCTATCTGATATGGGGATATGACATAACGTAAAACTCTATGCATTTCTTGGACCAATGGCCACTTCGTCAGGATACCATAGGAGACCTTCTTCAGACACCCATATTTTATATATTACAAGACAGTTCTGTATAGACATAAAATTAAATGATACCATATATCATACAAGATATGTAATTCCATTACTGTTGAAAACATTTTGGCAGCTGGTATAGGGCATGTGTATCTCACAGTCCTTCTGGCCCTTATCTTTCCCCACACAGGAGGTTTAGAGTGTTCCTTGAGAAAAAAAATTCAAGATTCATTTAAATCTAGTTTATCCCCAAAGGAAATGCAGAAAGAATTCCTTTATTTAAAATTGCAAAACATGCAAAGAGGTTTAGGATCAATTGGTTGGTGTATACATCAGCATCAGTGGCTTCAGGGTGGAGAGAATCCCAACCTCAGCACTCTATTTAAAGTATGTTCCCAAAGTTGCACAGAGGTCTAGGATAGGTTGGTATAGAAAGCAGCATTGGTGGCTTTGGTCCCCCCAGAGCAAGTGTGCCTTCACATTTCTTGTTCCAGTATCAACTGAAAATGTTGGATTGTCCCTCACTTTCATGCTGGTGAAAACAGCTACTAGAATAAATAGAGAAAGGGAATCTACCCAGTGGATACATAGACAACAATAGCAAACTGACAGGGATGATAACCCCTCACCACTAATAAAAAATAATTTAGATATATTTTTAATAGAATTATACATAATTTGTTGAGTTTTATTGGTGCTCACGAGTGAATGTTAACTCAAAGTGAACCTGTACTTTACCCCCACAGGGCAAAGCAATAGGTTCACGTTATTTTACCTCTCCCCAGCAGCATACCTCACCTTCTTTTTGCTTCCTTGGCCTTCTGTTCAGCTTCCAGGACAGCTCTGATTAATCCAGTCACATACCCACTCTCTATGGCGCTCTAGACTAAATGGAGAGGTAGGGAATTGTTGGGAAAAGCTCTCACATTCACTGTTGTAGCCTTTATTTATAAATTACTGTTATTACTGTTAGTTTTATTAAAGGAGAATTATAACTATACTAGGGATCACAGGAGTGCAGTTCGTTCTGCACACCAGTGACCCATTTTCATCCTACAGCCCATATATTTGTGATCCACCCAGATGTCAGGACTGGTAGCTGGCTCGGCCTCTGAGCAAGCTGCTTCTGCCCCCTCCACAGCCCAGCGCTCCAGTGAGAGCTGGAGGGACAGAGCAGGGAACCAGTGACTGACAGTCCTCAGCTCTCTGCACACTGAAGACCGAGAACTGAACGATCAGCCGGCAGGAGACAGATGCAGCATTGGACCGATGCTGCATCCAACTAGGTGAGTAGAAATGTTTTTTATTTCTACCCATACTTCTCTTTTAACACCTTCTTTCCATTCTTCCCTTAGCTCTTTTTTTTTCATTTTACTAATATTTTGTTGTGTATCAATGTTAAACTTTATGTTAATTGATTTTTTTTTATATTATATTTAAATAAATGGTTTGAACCAAAATCCTTTTGGTATCACTATAAAAGAGGCAAATCGCAGAATAAAATGTGCTCTTTTCATGAATAATAAACTAGTTTGAAGATGAAAGAACACATTTTGATTATCAACAATGTTAATGGAAACCTGGCTCTGTTTTAACATGATGAATATGACACTTTTTTAATCATATTACAACACCTACCCCATTCCATTCTGGCATTCCATAGATTTTAAGGTGGTAAACTTAAGACCGTCAGGCAGCGACCCTCATTTTTGCACCCTGTGGCAGTCTGATCAGTTTTGTTGGCACTGCGATTTGTTATCTATTGTTCATCATATGCACAATCGGACTTGACAGATTTTTTGATAGGGTTATCCTAGGGATCCCCATGTAAAATATAATACCCAAAGAATAGAAAGTTATCATGCGGTTTACAGCCTGAACTTGGCTCAGTGGTCATGTCTTTAGTACGTACCATATTATGCCACTCCTAGATTGGCAAGATAGGTCAGTGTCTTGTGCACTTTGGACCTTCGGCAATCTTGTTGTCTTGTAGGTTACTTTGAAAGCTGCTACATCACAGTCAGTCAAGAAACCAGCTCTCGTATACAGAATCTAAAGGTATACATTTATTGGCTAAAGAGCATAATGGAAAATCTATATTTAGGCATAACCTGTTAACATTGAAAAAGCAAGTAAAATGTTTAGCTACATTGATTTATCATTACTTCTGTTTTGACTGCAGGGAAGTCATGAAAAGAAAATCCATAGGAGGTGAATGTACTAATCATATTGGAAGTAACCCGGGCTCGAAAAGAGACACCCACTTCTGTGCAGTGTGCAGCGATTACGCCTCTGGTTACCACTATGGAGTCTGGTCTTGTGAGGGCTGTAAAGCTTTCTTCAAGAGGAGCATCCAAGGTATGTTCAGTTCTCGGATCTTGTTTGCTGTGGTTGATTTAGGACATTCCATTCCCTGGTGCTGAGTGTTCCAAAGTGATTAATGTATTCAGACTATTAATGAGGCCTAATAATGAGTGTTGTGTGCAGCTAAAGCCTTCCGTGTTGTGAAAAGCAGTCAAAATTTCAAATTAGCATTATTTGTATTATAAGTGTAGCCAGACTAGCAACCTATCAATTCTGGAATTTGCAGAAAGAGCTGGTGTGTGTTTGGGAGTACTTGTGGATCGGTGGTAGCTCCTAGGATTTCAAAAGCATTATGGAAACATATATTAAAGGTACACTCCAGTCAGAATTACAAATTAAAAGCTTACAGGAGACATTGCCTACTTGCTCTGAGTTTCAGTACCTCATCCAGTCAAATCTCTAGGCCACCAGCCCTCCTAAATATCTTTTGTCAGTAATCTGGTGATCTGGGACCTGCTTTGACTTACCTGTTGCAATGATTCACAGCAGAGAGAGAATAGTGATATCCATTCCATTAGAAATCAGCCCTTTAACGATTTACCTATTAATTTTAAGGGGCTTAAAAACAGTAGAAGATGCATAATTGTGCATGCATGAACTGGCTGCCAAACAATTATTCTACAAGCAGTCAGGGTCACATTGGACCCATTTGTATGTTTTTATCTAAGGAAAAGTGTGTGTTGTAGGTTCCCTGACCTAAAAATTGTAGATGTTGTGGGCAGGGGCGGACTGACCATTGGAGCACTCAGGCACTGCCCGAGGGCCCGGGGTCAGTAGGGGGCCCCATGAAATGCCCCATGTACCTTTTTTATAGGCTTTTTTGAGTGTGGGCAAGGACACAGGGGCCCCATGATCCCTTATTGCCCGGGGGCCCCATGAGTTGTCAGTCTGCCCCTGGTTGTGGGGGTTAGCTTACATGACTTATTTTTGTAAGTAGGTTATGGAATGTAAATAAAAGCTAATGCCTAAAATCCTGAGGGCTACACCAACACAAAACAGCTCAGGTAACTTTGATAACTGTCACTTTACTCTGTGCAAAGGTCACTTTAGTAGGCACCATAGAAAGGGATTAGTCACACGCTGGCAAACACATGACTGTACAGAGCAATGGGGTGGTTCTAGGTTACCAGTTTTTCCCAGAAGACCTATAGTTCCCACCTGCCTTGAAAATGGCCTTGCCTTGGCCTGGCTAGTGGGCTAGGTAATCTTTGTCCTTGCTTGGAGGCTGCTTAATATCTCTTGTTCATATTACTTATTTGTTGATCAAATATTAAGCCTATAAGACATTATTGCCCTATTGGATTATAAGCAATAATAAACATGGCCATCACCCTTGCTGTAAAAATAAGTATTTTAGGTCAGGAATCATTAAATCAGCTCCGTATTAATGCCTCCTTTTCCTGCTCTACTTGGAAGGCATTTAATAAAAAAAAAATCACGTAAACCCATCCAAGAAATAACTGCATTTTAAAGTTGATCGTGTGTGTGTGTGTGTCCCTTTATTTGGTTCCCATATCGCTGGATGATGTGGACACTGCCATGGGCTATTTAGTGAAGGGGATTTGTAAGGCTCTAGAAGACTGCAGAGGTGAGATGACATCCCAGCAAGGGGGTCACTTGGTGCAGGAACATATTGCAGCACTGGATCACAGGTGTTTGGAGGACACCTGTTCCAGTGATGGCTGCAGGAATTTTCCCTTACATTGGAGAGTTGTCTTCTCACTGCAAGCTCTCTCTCCAGGGCAAAAAGTTAGGGGACCCCCGATCACCGCCAACCAGCGCTAAAGACAGTAAAGGAAAAAAATTATTTTTTTACCATAAAGTTCAGCAAATATTGCTTAGTACTGAAAATATCACGTTAGTGAAGTGCCACTTGCTGTTCTGACAAAGGGATTATACACCATAAAGACAGAATTTTCTTTCTGAAAAAGGATAATACTGATACTGTAGCTTTTCTGACATTATAATGGGGTTCTGTTGCATATTATAATTATTACTTCATGCTATATAATGTTTCTTTATTTTTTTTATGGAAGGACACAATGATTATATCTGCCCTGCTACAAACCAGTGCACCATAGACAAAAACAGGCGAAAAAGTTGTCAAGCATGTCGACTGCGCAAGTGCTTTGAAGTGGGGATGATGAAATGTGGTGAGATTGTTTTCCTTCATGTTTGACAGTTTCGTTCTTCTTTGTTTTTTTTTCGCTTTCCATCCTTATTATCCCATCAGCAGCTGGCAAGCACAGTGTAAAATACGTGAACGTTTTCTTACATCTTGACAATCAGCAAGAGACTGGTTCATGTACTGTGTTGGTGGGATTCTGAAACTGTGTGTAATACCCATTATGAAGTCTACAGTACCAGCTGCTGAACCTTAACAAAGTCTATTTTCCACCCTCCAGAAAAATCTTATGTTATACAAGAAGGTAGTCAAAGTGGTTCTAAAGCCTTTTCTGTGCATTAAGGTAAAAAACCTTTTGTGTCACAGATTCCCCCTGTCACCCCATCCCCCTATACTTAACCTGAGCCCATATTCGATCCAACGCTGTGCATAAGAGAGGAAGGTTTCTCTTCCTCCATTCAGGTCAGATTGATAGCAGTGGGTGTCATTGGCTTCCATTGTTGTCAATCAATATCTGTGACAAGGGAGTGGGGGGGAGGTCAGACAGGGCGACTTGGGATCAAGCCCATACGTGTGCCCCCATAGAAAGTGTTTTTTTTGGGGGAACTAACTGAATAGGAGGGGCCAGGAACACTGGCAGGGGACCCCAGAAGAGGAGGATCGGGGCTGCTCTGTGTAAAGCCATTGCACAATGCACGGAAGTATAACATGCTTGTTATTTTATAAAAAAGAAAATGAAACTTTAATATCACTTTAAAAGAGAAGTGTGGGAAAACATTCATATTCACCTAGATAGCTGCAGCATTGATCTAAAAGCTGGAGCTGTCCCCCCACTGAGATCTACTCCAAGGACTGAGCAATGAAAGACTGCTGATTGCTCAGTTCTTGGTCTTCAGTGAGCAGTGGGCCAGTGACTATCAGCTGTCCCCTCTAGCTCAGAGTGCCATACTTCTACTTTAACTTTGTAATTTATGTATAATGTGCTTCACCTGCTGTTGACTCCTTTATAGCGTGCAGACTCATTGGGGTTGATTTAGTAAAGGCAAAGAAGCTGTTCAGTTTACCAGGGAAATTTCCTTAAGCTAAGTAAAGGAGGTGAAGCTCTGGTGACTTTCATCATCCAAACATCTGCAAGCATATGATTGGGTATTTATTGCAAAAGAGCATTTTCACCAGATTCACTAATCTAAGTGAAAATTTCCTGCAAAGTGAACAGTCTTTTTGACTTTGATAAACCAACCCCACTGTGTCCAAAGAGGATTGCTTAAGAAACAAGTACATATTCACTGTTTTGCCAATGCTATGCAGGTAACACCATGATACTTTATTATTTATTTATTACAGGTACTCATATAGTGCTCTCAGTTTATGCACATTAGTCCCTGCCTTCGAGAAGCTTACAGTCTAAGGTCTCTAACTCACATCCATGCATACACATACTAGGGCCAGTTTAGACAGGAACAAATTAATCTACCAGCATGTCTTTGGAGTGTGGAAGGAAACTGGAGTATCTGGAGGAACCCCACACAGGCACAGGGAGAACATACACTCTCTGCAGGTAGTACTGTTGTTGGAATTCAAACGGACAGCCCTAGTGCTGCCAGGTGGAAGTGCTAATCACTTAGCCACTATGCTGCTTTTGGTTCTATAATGATCCTGTCTTTTATTATTGCAACATTTGGTAAGCCTATGCAAGCTGAAAAGAAGAAACCACTGTGCCTACTGCATTTATTTATTTATTTTAAATGTCCGAATGTTTGCTTACACCTGACTATCACACCTATAGGAGTTGGCATTCAATGCCTATGCTTTTCTGAAAAGACTTTCCATGTCCGCAGGAATATGTGCCTATTTAGCCATAAGACCGTTTGTGAGGTCAGAAGACCTAGCTCACAATCAGTGTTCCAAATCATTCCAAAGGTGTAGAAGCACACAATTGTCCAAAATGTCTTTGTATGTTGTAGCAAACCTGAACCTATCCTGAAATTGGGAGTAATCCTCTTATTTTTTTTCATGTCTTATTTAGACATGTGAATACCTTCTGTTCAAAGAATGCAATGGGGGGAGATTTACTAAAACTGGAGCACTTAGAATCTGGTGCATGGTAACCAATCAGCTTCAAACTTCAGCTTGTTCAATTAAGCTTCAACAATAAGTCTCCATGCACACTGGGCGTTTTAATAACGCCGGTAATGTTAGCTGTGTAAAGTCACATGAAAAACGTGAGTTTTTCATCATTTTTGCATTAGCGTTTTGCCATGTTTTTCACGTTTGCATTTTTTTTTTTACCAAAAGAAAAATATTTTTTTTTGCTCAAACAAAGTTCAAAAACGCCGGTTTGCCACAATTTACTGCATTTTTCAGTGTTAGAGCATTTTTATATTTAAATGGTTTTTATTAATTTTAAACAGTATAAAACAGAGGCAACAAAACCCGCCCGCCCAGGGGCTATCAATTGCACCGATAAGTGTTAGAGCATTTTTATAGCTAACAAACTCCTCTGGAAACCCACTAGTTCTAGTATTTTTTTCCAGCCAAAAAAATGCTGATTATAGTCTATGTGTGCATGGACACATAGGATAACATGCTGGGGGGTTTACTGGCTGTAGAAAAAAATGTTTAAAGCCAAAAACAGCGGCTGTAAAAACGTCCAGTGTGCATGAGGACTTAAACCCAGAAGCTGATTGCTTTCTGTGCAGAGCTGCACCAAATTTTGCACTCTAGTTTTAGTAAATTGCCCCCACTGTGAATGCAGTTTGGAATAATACATCAAGTTCTGGATGTACTGTTGGCTGTTGGGACAACGAGGAATGATTTTCTTGGCTCTGCCCACTATCCTGAAATGAGGAATAATCTTCTTATTTTTGGTGTTTGTGATGGAATGGGACATGTCAATACCTTCTGTTCCAAGAAGACTCTACTGGGCAATGTTGGAACATTAACAGTATCATTTACTGGAAACACCTGAACTCAATTTATAGGGAAGTCCACATGCTTTTGGCCATATAGGTAAGTACGTTGGTCAGGTATCTGAAAACTTTTGTCTGCATAGTGTATTTTATAGCGCAGAATACAGAAAGAATAGCAATACCCAAAAATTCCAGGCATCGGGCACTGTGGCAAGAAGATCTCTCTGTTTGACCATAAAAACTTGTAAGAAGCCAGGACTGTTTTGGGCCAACACATTTCCCCTTTAACAGAAATATTATCATTGGTTAGACTGACTCTTTAAAGCTGTAGTAAAGTTCCTCCAAGAAAAATAACAGTTCTCCCTGCAAGGTAAAACCATAATGTGCTAGTATGCATCACAAATACATCAAAATGCATCAAAAGTCTTTATTCCTTCTGTCATGGTCTTTAAAGTGTTCTTTACCCAAGTGGCATGACTGTCATTAACAATTGTTATTTTTAGGAACAAGGCGTGAACGTTGTGGGTACCGCATTATACGCCATCGCCGCCACTCTGAGGATCAAATGCATTGCTTTGGGAAAAGCAAGAAAATAATTGAAAACATAGGCAGAGTTAAAGAAGTTCTTCCCTGTGCCTTGGGCCCAGAGCAGTTTGTGTTATCGTTAATTGAAGCGGAACCCCCCAATGTTTTATTAATGAATCGCCCTTGCAAACCTTTTACTGAAGCGTCCATGATGATGTCACTGACTAAGCTCGCTGACAAGGAACTGGTTCACATGATAGCATGGGCAAAGAAAATACCAGGTATGTCATGGAGGTGCAAGGAAGGGTTGGGTTCTGTGTGCATGGGCAAGTGCAACTGAGCATGTGTGTAGTTTGTCAACCAATGATTCTTTGTATTAACTTAGTATGACATTTTAAGAACGTTACTATTTCCAGGCTTTGTGGAATTGAGTCTATATGATCAAGTTCGCTTGTTGGAGAGCTGCTGGCTGGAAGTTCTAATGATGGGACTCATGTGGAGGTCAATAGAACAACCTGGAAAGCTTATCTTTGCACCTGATCTCACTGTTGACCGGTAAGTTATAAAATGGGGAAAAAAAGGGTGCATAATTTTGTCTTCAGATATTTAAAGGGACTCTGAAACCTATGATTTATTCTGTTATTACTATGTAACACTACCCCCCGCAGGAGTTGCTGAGTTTTGGGCCCCCCTATAGTCCTGCCCAGCCAGGCAACACACATTTTCCACACACATGTGCTTCGAGGAGACAGTAACCAGTCCTTGAGCTTGTTTTTTTTCGATTTTATTAGGGGAATTTAAACTTGGATGGGGTAAGGGGTGTATGGGATGCCCAAGGGTAATGGCAACTGAGGACAATCTTAACTATGTACAAGTCTTTACAGCAACAATTCTCTTCCAGAGAGCTAGCCAGCATCTCCTGTAGTACCACCCCAGACCCCAGATAATCCTTATCCAGCTGTCTGAAGGAATCCTTGGGCATTGCATCCAGTTCCTGCCAATACAGTGTGAAACAGTCCCAGGTAAGACAGCAGATCCAGTTTCCCACTAGAGTGCCTCTTTCCCCTTACTGGTATGCAGGTCTGCTCACTCAGTCCTTCTCTTGTGCTGCTTGTGGATCAGCGCCTTCTACCAGGCCTTCTAGCTGGGCCACTCCTTCCTTGCTGCACAGATGGTCTGCGCTCTGGGGGCAGGTGAAGTCCTGAGCTTTCCTCGCTCCAAGGTCCTCTGCCTGTCAGTAAGCCCCTCTCCATCTGGGCCCCCTCCCAGGCTCCTGCTCTCCTGCCTCACTTCCTCTTCCAGCAGAACTCTTCCGCTGCTGAGCAGACTCTGTCATTTTAAAAGGCTGTCCTGATCCCATGCCAAGCCTCATGTTGGGAATTGGCCAGGATTCCTCAAAAGTGCAAATCAGCCACTCCTTACCTCCGCCCATTGCTTCTAGAACTTTCTCCAGAGTTCTAGTGCAGGGGGAAGTCTCAGAGAGCTTATTTGCAGAGCCTCTCAGCTCTGATCACAATTTGACCCCCTGACTATTACACCAGGCCGTTACTCAGCCCTCCTCACTAACAATTGAACCTTTAGCTCCCCCTAGCTAACTAGGAGGGTGCAGCAACTAAATGATAAATAGCTCCACAATATCTTGCTCTTGAGTAGGGAAGAGAGAGGGGCTCTTGAACCTGTCCTTACCCCGTGTGTGTGTGTGTGTGTATGTATATATGTATATATATATATATATATATATATATATATATATATATATATATATATAGGGGCGGGAAGTTTGGGCCTATAAAGCCCTTGAACAGAGGCATAACCTGTTAACCACTTGTCCTTCCTGGTCTAACCAACTATCTAGCTAACCAACCGTAGCAACCTGCCTACATAACCAGTGAATTGAATAGCCTAAGGTAAAACAGAGATGAAACATATCCTAATACGTAAGTTGCGCCTTCTTATCTCCCAGCCATCTCTTCTCTACATCCATTTAAAGTCCAGAAAATGCACAGCTTTTCTGTGCTTCCAGAGGCAGGGGTGGGAATCAGACCTAAGTGGAGGGAATGGAGGCACCCCGCTCTATGCAATCTCATAGAGAAACATGCACAGCTGAGGCGGTCAATCACAGGTTGTGTGCTGGAGGCCCTCTTCCCTGTCCCTATCGATTACTTAGTATGAGCAGAACTTGTCAGAAATGACTCGTGCAGATAGCACATGAATGAAGTTGCAGACAGAAATCACACTTGGTGCTTTGGATTGAGGCAAGTACACACTATAGGTAAACGCATTGTTAATTTTTTATGTCAGAGGTTTACAACCATTGTAATGTGAGCATGTAGAAAAGTACATACTGTATCTTAACACAATTTTCCAAACATTCATTAGGCCCTGTCCAGTTTTCACAGCAGTGAGACATTTCCTGGTTCATAGTACAATTATAGAAGGTGTAAAGCTTTATAACTTGGGACATTCTCAAAGAATTGGGCCCTAATGTTTCTTAGGAGCTGTCACAAGTCCTTTGCTTCCTACCGTGAAAAACAAAATAAATTTTAAAAAAGTATTGTTTGTCTGGCACTTAAAGTGTTAGTAAACCCGGGACCCTGCATTCACTATATCTGGTCTCCCACAGTACACAGAACATGGAAATGCAAATATTTTAGTAAATATAAACTGCTAAATACCTTTTTTTCATCAGCAGTTAGAGCAGTCTTGTGACTTCTACCAGTGTTCAGCAGAGCACTAGTTAACGCTTGTAGGAGGAGTTTTTATTCTCCCCTATGAGCCTGCAGGACCCCTGACCCTCTGTCTGGACAGTGCTGATTGGTTCTGTGCTAATCACATGCACTCTTCCAAGAAAAAAAAAATTCTCTAGGAATACACACCAAACTGAGCATGTACAGCTTGCCTACAAGCCTCTGTTGTATCAAGAGATATATTGGGGACAGTAGAAGGAGGGGAGGATCAGAGAAAACAGGATCAAACATCCTTTTTACACAATGCGGAGGATTAACCTCTTAGGTTCCACACTGAGTATAACAAGCATGCTTTACTGCATATACAGACTGATTTTACTGTTATGGGGTTAGTAACACTTTAAACACTGTCCCATAGCACTGTTTTTATCACGTGTAAATCTAATGCACAATTTACAGTTTATTTGGAAGCAGCCCCACAAATCATGGCAAGGTAAAGTACCTGTAAACCTTAAAATTTAGGGCCCAGTAACCAGGGACGTAGATAATGGGGGTGTCAGGGGGGTTCAAACCCCCCCAGAGCATTCTGCCAATAATCAGCTGCATAGTGTCCTTGCTGTGCTGCTTGCCGCTAGTGCCATGTGCGTCTGGCAGCAGAGCAGGGACACCATACAGTTGATTTGTGAACTGAACCCAGCGGCAGGCAGAGTAGGGTGACGTGACGGGTGTTAATTGTCATAGTAAGGCATGTGTGAACTTCTGGGCTGGCATTTAGATGCAGGCATTCACACACTGCTGTCCGTCGCACCACCATGGGACCGGCACTGCCCACTGAGCAGTGTGTGCTGTCAGGCTTGGATTGGGCTGTGGGTTGAGGGAGGAAGCTGTCGGCTGAGTCTGGACTGTGACACTCACTGCCTTCTCGCCCCCATCCAAAGCAGTGACGGCACTGAGCAAAGCGGGAGCATCGGTCCCGCCCACCACTGCTCTATTGCCATTGGCTCTCGCTTCTCCTTGCAGTTCCATTATGGTTGCCAAGAAGATCAACCACCTCCAGCACTAGGCAGCAGCAGCACTAAGCAGAGGGGGGGGGTGGCTGACATTTGCCCCGCACACCACTCCATTGTTATTGGATGCTGTTCCTCTTCCAGTCTTTGGCTTGGGGGAGGAGATTTTCCTGGGTCCTCCACCAGTGCAGAACGCTGCCCGCCACGTGTATGAAGTGGATGTGAATGTGGATGTGAAACATACAGCATCGTGTACAGAATGCAGGAGTTTGCAATGTACTACTCTTTAGATTGATAATCAGTGAGAGAAAGAATGCCCCTTTACAATGGTGGTTAGAGAGCGCAGGACTGTCCCTTATATTGGTAGGCAGTGGAAGTAAGATTATCTCTTATATTAGTAGACAGTGGGAGTAAGATTGTCCCTTATATTGGTAGGCAGTGGAAGTAAGATTATCTCTTATATTAGTAGACAGTGGGAGTAAGATTGTCCCTTATATTAGTAGACAGTGGGAGTAAGATTGTCCCTTATATTAGTAGACAGTGGGAGTAAGATTGTCCCTTATATTAGTAGACAGTGGGAGTAAGATTGTCCCTTATATTAGTAGACAGTGGGAGTAAGATTGTCCCTTATATTAGTAGACAGTGGGAGTAAGATTGTCCCTTATATTAGTAGACAGTGGGAGTAAGATTGTCCCTTATATTAGTAGACAGTGGGAGTAAGATTGTCCCTTATATTAGTAGACAGTGGGAGAAATACTGTCCCTTATATTAGTAGACAGTGGGAGTAAGACTGTCCCTTATATTGGTAGACAGTGGGAGTAAGACTGTCCCTTATATTGGTAGAAAGTGCCTGCAGCACGCTGTGGATCACTCATGTGGGGCACAAAGCAGGAGACCTAGAACATGGGCCCCAGTTCCCCGTGCTTAGCTACAAACCTGATTTAAAGACAGGAGGATATTTGTTAAAGGCATTTAAATGTACAGGTTCTGGGGTTGTCATTGTGATCCTATCCTGTTTAGCTAAAGAGTTACTAAGCTGAAGCAAGCATGTAGGACAAGAATTATTAGTCTTGACTTTTGGTTCAGACTTTTGGGTCAGTGACTCACTACATACCAGGATCCATATAGTATGACCACCATGCAACTGGCACCTGTTAACAGCAAAGATGGCATTGACATCCCCCATCTTTCTGCTATTATGTGAATAAACTTGTAAGCCACTGGAGTAAACAATCAATGTATTAGGTCGCTGGAATCGTTGCTCACCCTCATAAGATGTGTGCTATATGTAACATAAATAAATGACTACCGCGCTCTAATACTATCATCCAATAAAACGTGCATATAAAGTATAGCTATGCAATGTTGTATGCTGTAAAAATATCAACTTGTAAATTACATCACCATAATGAATCAAATTATATTCACACAATGTGTCATCAAAAATAAAATAAAAAATCCTTATATAAATAAATATTTAAATGAATCCAGTTGTGATAAATTTGCAATATAAATAACTAGTTAAAAAGAAATTATTAAATTCATGAAGTCCAGTGTGCAAATTGTGCAAAAAAGAGTAAAGTTCAGCAAAAAAATGGTGGTAATAATATACTCTCCTTTCAAGCTGCTTGTGGTTGCGTAGCTGGGATCCTGCGGCTTCTCTCTGAGCCTGTATAGGTATAAGGATTTCTCCCTCCTAGAACCTCTCCTCACTCCAATGCTCAATGTATCCTCGTATGACCCATGAGAAAAAAGGAATGAAAATATGGTGCCTTATCCAAGGTATGTAAAGACAATCTTTAATATGCTCCCATAATGCACTCACATTATTCAAATTAAAAACCGCTTGTAATACAATTAA